CATGAGCTAGAGCGATGTGCTGAGTCCATAAGGAGGCCGAGCTTCCAGAAATACCTTCCTGTGATTGGCTGTTGCGGGGAATACCAACACTCTTTTATGAATAAAATTTAAACTAAGAAATAGGTCCTTGTGCACAACAACACAGTTGTTGTGAAAAAGAACAACAATTTCTGTTTTGCACCTGACAGAAATCTCCATCTAACTGAATAATTTACTCGCATCAGAGGGCAGAGCCGTGTATCATTATTTGTGTCAAGGCAACCCCCAATAATAACGTCTCAAGTTAGGTAGCCCAGCCCATTTTTATATAGCATCTGTTATATCCCGCAATATTTAATTATCACTTCGTTAACACTTTAAATAATTAACACTTCACTTTTTTGGGTAAATTAAAGTTAAAGCAGAATTCCATAAGCATGACTGGTGGGCTGAACTAAGATGATTTACTAAGTGGATGGCACCTATAGTTGATCCCTTCCTGTGATTGGCTGTTGTGTGAATGTCAACAAAGAATATCTACCAATTATATGCCATTTATTATGCACCCCAAACCATCTTGTGGACGGAGCTTGGAACCTCCTACCCGAGCACAACAACCCGCCTTATGGGTTGCTGTTTGGCTATTTATAGTGCGTTGGAAAAGCAACAGATGGCGTTAGTTGTATTTTGTAGAGTAATTTGTTATAAGTGTAATTTGATGTCAACAGATGGCGTAAGCTGTATCTTATGGCTACTATTAACCTGCCAGTTGATAGTGCCATGCAACAAGAACACATATGTGATAACATCCATCTGATCACCAATGTCTTATCATTCATGCACACACTCCAACGACAAGGCCGACGGGTACTTATCAACTGGGTGCCAAGTCATGTGGGACTAATAGGTAATGACATTGCAGACGAAGCTGCAAAACTTGCTACTAAGAGGAGGAATGTAGACATTTACATACCACAGAGTCTATCCCAGATGAAGAAAGTGATTCGAAACAGAGCAATGCGAAAGATGTACAGTGACCACACCACAGCAGTTGCAACATCAGGATCTGCGGGTTGGTACAAGAATTCAACCAACTACGAACCACTTAGTTTGATGAACGGGAGCAGTAGAACAACAGAAGTGCACTTACATCGCATCAGGCTTGGATACCCATGTGCATGGGAAATAGGCTTACGGGTTCCGGAAGGTGAGAGGAAATGTCACTACTGTGGAGAAATGCCCGACAGACCACTGGAACATTATCTAACACAGTGCACAGTTACAAACCCGTTAAGATTTCACCTTCGATTCAACAGAGCAGAGGACGTTGTTAAACACATATGGCAAAATCTTACTGAAGCGACCATACGGGTCATACATACTCATACTCCGCCCAGGTAAAACAGAAACAAGCAACACTTAGTGGGCCAGCCAGAGGCTTAGGGCCCGCGCAGGATTATCCCTGCTAAAAAGAAGAAAAAAAAAAAAGTTGATAGTGTTCTTATCTGCCGATAGATGGCATCAGCTGTGTTATTATTATTTTAATAATATTATTACATTAATAATAATGTATTATTATTACTTTAAACACTGATCTATACGTCTGGTAGCTTATAATAAGGTTGTATACCGTGCTGGTATTAGGCAACTAGAATTCTGCAATTACTTTTTTTTTATCTACTGTTGAGGATATGTAAGACAAATGTAAGGTTTTGAGGCTAAGTAACGAAGATAGTTACAAGATACGAGCCAGATGGTGTTGAGATTGCAAAAGGGATTATGATAAGAACTTAAGCCAAAAAATCAATGCATAAATGTTCGCAAATATGAGACTGGAATTTATTTCTCGAAAAGTTAGCAATAAAATACGCTTTTTAGTTCTTTATTTTTAAAATTAAGACCAGGGATTCTGTCTAACGAAGCTGCAAGCTAAAACACCGTTATCCTATAATGTTCATCTGTAGCTTGACCCTAAATACTCGTTTATTAAACGAATTTATTGTTAGAGTTCATTAGGAATCAACATTGTTGAAGGCAGTTTCCAACAAATACCTTCCTGTGATTGGCTGTTGCGGGGAATGCCAACGCTTATATGATTAAAATGCAAAATAAGAAATACGTCCTTTTACTCAATAATCTTGTTGTTGTTGTTGTACAAAAGAACAACAATTTCTGTTTTATACAAGACAGAAATTTCCATCTAACTGAATAATGTAGACCAATAAGAGGGCGGAGGCATTGTATCGCCGATATTATTTACGTGAGGCAATCCCCACTGATGACGTCACAAGCTAGGTAGCCAGCCCATGTTTCTGTAACACTCGTTACATCCTGCAATATTTAATTATCACTTTATTAATACTTTTAAATACTTAACATTTCACTTTTTAGGGAGATTAAAGTTGAAGCAGAATGTCATAAGCAAGGATTGTGTGCTGAATAAAGATGATTTATTAAGTGGATGGAGCCTTTAGCTGATCCCTTCCTGTGATTGGCTGTTGTGTGAATGTCAACAAAGAGTTTCTAAATGATATGCCATTTATTATGCACCCCATACCATTTTGTGAGCGGAGCTTGGAACCTCCTACCCGAGCGCAACAACCCACCTTATGGGTTGCTGTTTGGCTATTTATAGTGCGTTGGAAAAAAAAGAGATGGCGCTAGTAGTATTTTGTGGGGTAATTTGTTATAGGTGTAATTTGATGTCAACAGATGGCGTAAGCTGTATCTTATGGCCACTGTTGACCAGCTAGTTGATAGTGTTCTCTTCTGCCGACAGATGGCATCAGCTGTGTTTTTATTACTTCCGAATTCCCTTTAAACACTGATCTACAAATCCCTTGGCTTATGATAAGGTTTTATACCATTTATGATAAGTATTAGATAACTGGAGTTACGCAATTACTTTTATTTGTCAACTGTTGAGGATATCATCATATAACGTCTGGTTAGGACGTACTGCTCTCGATTGATGAAGATTAAGCCACCCAAGAGGCGGCACGGGCATGAATAGCCCGTAAATACTGCTCTGGTAATACTATTCAGAGGGGTGGGGGAACTATCAAGTGAAAGCGCCAAGCCATTACGACTAGATAGCACTCGGAAGGGATCAGGATACGGATTTGGGATGGAACGGGGGAAAGGAATGGTGCCCAACCTCTTGGACGGTCGGGGATTGAACGCGAACCTGTAGGAAAGGAGACCGTCGCTCTACCGTCCAGCCCAAGTGGTTAAGCGTAATATTATTAAAACAACAATTTATGCATATAATAGCAGCATTTCACACTAAAAATACTTGGATATATCGAAATTTGGTAGTGAATTCCAATCTAGGAATCTCCTATGACTAAACTGTACTTTTTAATTATTTTTATGTACTATTATTAAATTATTAAGTACTTACTATAATAATTAAATAAATTATTTTATTTAATATTTAAATTAAACGATAAAATAATAGGTAATAATAAATTATTGTGTAGGGGGACAGGCAGCCATTGTATATATATACATGTTAGGTTTATACCAAGGTCCCACAAAGGTGCCACAAAGGTGCCAAATTAAAGACTGGGTGCTGCCGGGTCGGGCCCAAGGGCTGCTGGCGGCCCTGGCCAGGCTGAACTTCCGCGCCCTTATAATCACCATTGTTTAATAATCTTCACAGGATGGGCTATTCATGCTATTACGGGCTATTCATGCTATTACGGGCTATTCATGCCCGTGCCACCTTTTGGGTGGCACGGGCATGAATAGCCCGTAAGTGAAGGCCTTTTGGAGCCATTACCAGCATCAATAGCTAGTGCTGGGGATCAGTGGATGGTTGAATGTCCTGTTGATATAGATTCAGCTACTAGGAACAAGAAGTTCCAAGTAGCACGGGCTAAGGCGAGCCCGTAGTGGACTTACCTGGCACAGGAGCGGTGCTGTGTCGGAATGCCATCCCTCTGCGTCTCAAACGGTCTAGTTCGCCTGGTGAATGCTGTGACGTCATTTCTCCTTGACCAATGAGAAGTGTAGGCTTCTCCTGCCATTCCTATGCTCTGCCCTGATTGGTAGCGCCATGTGTCACTGCTCTAGCCATCAGGCCTATAGTGTACCGGCGTCCAGACACTGACAGCGTCTATACACTGCCGAGGAAGATGGGGATTGATTGATTGATGAAGATTAAGCCACCCAAAAGGTGGCACGGGCATGAATAGCCCGTAAGTGGTGGCCCTTTTGAGCCATTACCAGTATCAAGAGCTGATACTGGAGATCTGTGGAGGTGCGACTGCACCCTGCGTGACGGGAGATGTCTCCCGTGACAGAAGATGGGGGAGTTTTACCTCGATATAAAGATGCTAACGTGTATGAATACACGCTGGCTGCCTGTCCCCCGACACAATGAATTATTACTGCCCGAAACGCTTTGCGTAATAGTGGCTTTAGGCATTGTATGTACTAGCTCCATCTATAAATCCATCAACTGTTGTATCTCACCTTGTATGTATGTACTTTACCTGAATAAATATTTGTATTTGTATTTGTATTATTAATTATTATAGATGTTTAACCTACGCTTCGTACAGTCCAGCCATCCCACATCCACCATGTTGCCCCGGTAACTTGTCCCATAACTCCACAACCGACCTCCGTCCGCAGTATGAAGAACAAGTCCACCAGTGAACTAGAACATAGAGACATTAAAGCACCAGGTACCCATTAACTAAGAGTTGTTGTTTAAGATTCGCTACCCGAACAAAAAGTTCAAAGTAGCACGGGCTATGGTGAGCCCGTAGGGGACTTTTTTCTTGGTAAAACTAAGAGGCGGGGTACAAGACCCCAGATCTCGTCTAGACGATGACACTAATGTCCAAATAATAATTTGTTTCTTCTTGAAATCCTCTGCATGCCCTTGTATACATTTTAAATGATTAAAGCTACAATGATAACAGTCATAATAATATGAATTCAGTAAATATAGGAACAATTTCACGAAGAGCCGGTAACTAGCATAGAGCAATTCAGCGGTGAGATAGTAGTGGCAATCCCTGCTGCCAGACGTACCTCAAAACTACAGGTCCAAACGGCCTTGCAAGTCAGTGTGTCTGTGGACGTCGTGGGAGGCAGGTTTCGCTCATCTCTCTAGTGAAGGTGGGAGTCACGTGCCTCTGTTGATGTTTTGGTGAAGAGGAGGAGGCAGCCACTCTTAAGTGTCTCATACTATCGTAGTGCTTTTAATAGTGAGTGTGTAGGTGTGCTGTGTTGGTAGGATTGCACACACGTAGGAAGGTAAGTGTTGATTTGAGTGAAAGATGCTGAAATGATTTCGAAGTCCCTCATCGAGTTAAAGGAACTTGATCTGGAATTTTTCTGGCTAGATGTAACTAAAAGGGATGTTGTATAGTAATTCCCTTGACGTTCTTCTCTTTTGGGTCGCGTGCATAATGTAAATGTTTTCGTCCCAAAACTTGTCTCCAAGATACATCCGCCAGTTTCTCGCTTTCAGTTCATAGGACCACGAGTAAATATCGCACGTTATTTAAGATTGAAATTCGAAGATGTTTGATTAAAACACACACACACACACACACACACACACACACACACACACACACACACACACACACACACACACACACACACACACACACACACACTAGGGGGGTCTGGTAGCTGAGTGGACAGCGCGCAGTACTCGTAATTATGTGGCCCGGGTTCGATTCCTAGACCAGGCAGACACAAATGGGCAAAGTTTCTGTCACCCTGAATGCCCCCTGTCACCTAGCAGAAAATGGATACCTGGGAGTTAGACAGCTGTTACGGAGCTGCTTCTGAATGTGTGTGTGTGTGTGGAAAAAAAAATAGTAGTTGGTAACAGTTAATTGGCAGTTGAGAGGCAGGCCGAAAGAGCAAAGCTCAACCCTCCCAAGCACAACTAGGTGAATACAACTATGTGAATACATGTAAACATAAAAAATGCAATAGTGCTTTAAATACAGAAATTTCAGAAGAGAATCTATAAGGAAATACAAAAGTTACTTCATATCTAAAGTCGAGACAAACCAAAGCTGCTCCTTGGCCATGTTGTGAATGTGAATGACCGAGTGACTAGGCAAATTAAGAATTGAGGAGAACAGACAAAATATTGCAAGGAAATCAGTGAGGAACTAAATGTTGGATTCCACAAGTTATTCCTGCTGGCCGGACCAGCTCCCTGTGGCATGAGTGACTCCCGGTGAGATACTGATAAATACTGAGATAATTTATCAGAGGAGGTAGTTAGGGACAACTAGACACATTAGATGCAACGAAAGCTGTAAAGCAAGACAACGTATTACTGTGGTTTGCTAAACGAAGCTCCACAGGCCTTTAGTATATCTTAATTACAGAGTTTTGATGAACCACAGCAGGAGAGAGTTGCCTAGTAGATAGAAGACAGCACCTGAGGCACCAGTAAAAGAGAGTGAACAGGCATGAAACACTGAACGACAAACCGGCATCACCGACAAAACATCCTACAAAAGTATTTTGAAAACATTATAATAAGTTCAAATGATAAGATCAAAATAGAATGAAATGTGTAAATGAGGACAAAAATTCGTGCCAAAAAATTCTAGTGACCTTTGACTATAAAAATACAGAGCAGACAAGGAGGCAGATTGCTGTTTCTGGATTAGCAAAAAGCCTTAGACACACTAATAAACAAGAGATCACTGTAGGCTGTATTTGGTGAAATCATATCTAACATATGTGAGACGCAATATTGGAAGATAAGTTAGATTAGTGTAGGACAACAAACAGGGGTCCCACAAGGATCTGTTCTAGGACCCATACTAGTCCAAATAATTGTAAATGACTTAACCCAACCACTTGGACTGGACGGTAGAGCGTTGGTCTCACTTCATGCAGGTCGGCGTTCAATCCCCCGATCGTCTAAGTGGTTGGGAATCATTCCTTTCCCCAGTTCCATCCCAAATCCTTGTCATTATCCCTTCCAGGTGCTTTATAGTCGTAATAGCTTGGCCCTTTCTCTTTCCTTAACCACTAGCGGACAGTCATACACGTATATCTCTGCAGATGATGCAAAATTAATAAGATAAATGGCATCTGAAATTCAATACCAGTAAGTGTAATGTTTTGACAAATGAGAAGAGGGGATGAAAGATCAACAGTTCGGCACATAGGAATGATCGCCATCTTACTGAATCAACTAAAGAAAAAGACCTAGAAGTCGTTATAATAACTCAAACCTTCAATTAACCTCAAAAACGAGGCATCTATAACATTTACACATCACATACGTGAGACTAGTCTTGGAGTCTGCAGCTCTGAAGGGAACTTTCCTCTTCAAAGAGCTTTTAATGAGGCTTGGAAAGATACTGAAGATTGGAAGGTAGCTCATCTGAGAATTAAGTGGAATTTGGTACAAAGACAAGTTCAAGTAGCGGGATTTATTGACTCTAGGAAAAAAGAGACATGATAAAAACATATAAAATACATAGAAAAACTTATATATATCAAGAACAGGTGTTTTATTGTCTAATAAATAACTGCAAAACGACGTGATAGATTACTCAAGATTTTTGGGGGAGCTTGAATGTTAAATATGAAGTAATATACAGTACAGTAACACACAACGGAATCACAGTATAATCTTTTATAGTGTATATTTAATACAACGTTATCTCAACCTGACAACGCTCAAAAGACGTCATAGTTACTGTGTGTTGTGATAGTAGTGTGGTAGAGATATAGAAGGAAAATACTGTACATTTAAAATTTATATTGTTGCGTATGTAACTGTTGATACAGACTCAGAGAGAACTGGCAGAGAGAGAGAGAGAGAGAGGCTGGAGAGACAGAGGGAAGGAGAAATACAGTTAATTCACGTGATGTAAGTTGATGCCCCTCTAGATAAACTTGTGATGAGAAGTGACGTTAAATAACATTCATTCATGGTAATATTAAAGTTTCTTTGCATAGACCTCAACAGGTTAGGAGAGAAGGTTTTCTCCCTAGACAAAGTTATCTAAGTTGCATTACTGTTGCAGAGTTGCATTACTTACAGAAAGAGGCAGCTGGAGACCGGGCCTTGCAAGCTAGGATGTTGCATCTCCCTTACTTGATGGAACATTTGAGAACCAGTTGGGTGTGTGCAACAAGAAAAAGCAAATAAAAACTTAAACTCATTTAATTAAATTAGTTTAAAACTAATTCAAACTTTTTGAAAACTTAAAACTAGTTAAAAATTAATAGTTCTTCAAAGTGAGAAAAATAATACCGTCCTCCTCTGTGTGATAACGCCCTCCTCAGTGGGAATTATAGAGTAATAACACCCTCCTCAGTAGGAATTATAGAGTAATAACGCCCTGCTCAGTGGGTATTATAGAGTAATAACGCCCTCCTCAGTGGGAATTATAGAGTAATAACACCCTCCTCAGTGGGAATAATAGAGTAATAACACCCTCCTCAGTGGGAATTATAGAGTAATAACACCCTCCTCAGTGGGAATTATAGAGTAATAACACCCTCCTCAGTGGGAATAATAGAGTAATAACACCCTCCTCAGTGGGTATTATAGAGTAATAACGCCCTCCTCAGTGGGAATTATAGAGTAATAACGCCCTCCTCAGTAGGAATAATAGAGTAATAACGCCCTCCTCAGTGAGAATTATAGAGTAATAACGCCCTCCTCAGTAGGAATAATAGAGTAATAACGCCCTCCTCAGTGAGAATTATAGAGTAATAACGCCCTCCTCAGTAGGAATTATAGAGTAATAACGCCCTCCTCAGTGGGAATTATAGAGTAATAACGCCCTCCTCAGTGGGAATTATAGAGTAATAACGCCCTCCTCAGTGGACGCCAGACAAGGAACCATTAAATCCTCAGACCACACGATGAAAATAAATAACTTGTGCAGAATTTACTTCTACTAGAAAGCACAAGAACACACAACTATTGTGTGTTCTTGTGCTTTGACCCGGCCAGGATTCGAACCCATGCCGTCCAGGATCACCCCTAAACGTACACAGTACCGTGACCACCGCACCAATGATCGTCTATAAGGATTGGTCAGTCTTGGCGCTTATTAACTAAGCTCCCTGACTGACCAACCCCCGACGACACTCATGGATCCATTTGAGTACAGTTTTTCATCAAATTCTGGCGCATGCACGGGCCGCACTGAGTCTAACATGTGTGAGAAAGAGTCAAAGAGTTCTTAGTGATATATGGCTTGTGCGTTCATGCAGCTTTCTCACATATATATATATATATATATATATATATATATATATATATATATATATATATATATATATATATATATATATATATATGACGTTACATTATCTTGTAATAGAGTAGTGCAGCGCCCCACCTGTAATATAGTGGGGGATCCTCTGGAGATGGACACCTCTCTGAGAAGTTGTGAATGGCGGGGGTGACGTCAGTGGTGTTGTTGCTTGACCTTCACTGGTTCAGTAGTGTGGTGGGTTCGCATCCCCCGGCCTCCTTCACATGTGTCACCTCTGTTCTCGTGCTGTCTCCCTTGTTCCTCTTTCTCTTCTCTCGCTCTTTCTGCTTCGCTGAAATTTTCTTTGATTTATTTTATCTTTCTCTCTCGTTTTTGTATTTTCATTTGATATCTCTGGTTTGTTTTTCCTCTGTCTGTCTGTCTCTCTGTCTCTCTGTTTCTCTGTCTCTCTGTCTCTCTCTGTCTCTCTGTCTCTCTCTGTCTCTCTGTCTCTGTTTCTCTGTCTCTCTGTTTCTCTGTCTCTCTGTTTCTCTGTCTTTCTGTCTCTCTCTGTCTCTCTGTTTCTCTGTCTCTCTGTTTCTCTGTCTCTCTGTCTCTCTCTGTCTCTCTGTTTCTCTGTCTCTCTGTTTCTCTGTCTCTCTGTCTCTCTCTGTCTCTCTGTCTCTCTGTCTGTCTGTCTCTCTCTGTCTCTGTGTGTCTCTGTCTGTCTGTCTGTCTGTCTGTCTGTCTGTCTGTCTGTCTGTCTGTCTGTCTGTCTGTCTGTCTGTCTGTCTGTCTGTCTGTCTCTGTCTGTCTGTCTGTCTCTCTCACCACCTTGCAGTATTCCCCGTCCCAATACAAGACGTAGTGCAAACAGACTTACCATGAAGGTTTACAGTGCGTGGTGACTCTTGA